CTTTAAAAAATAGACAGAAAATGAGGAAACAATTTATGATACAATTTTAATTCTAAATCACTTTCTTTTATGGCAAGAAGTGTGGACAATATTAATTTCAAGGTCACAGTCAGCTGGGAAATGTCATTAGGGAATAAAACATGACTTAACTGAAGCAAACTCAGCATGGAATTCCATTGCTTTAAGTGAATGCAGTAATAAAATATGATTATCTGCCACTCACGAAGACAATTAAATGAATGAAGGGTCACGACAACTTTTACTTCACATCTTTTCATAACTAATATGGAAATAGAATTTCCGAAGAATTAAAAGTCCAAAACTACATCAATTTAAACGCTAATGGACTGCTTTCCAGTGCGGCAGCACACAGGTCATTCCCAGCACATCACCATTGCCAAATATGGTAACATCATAATTCTAACTGCAAACCTTGCCTATGAAATTCACCTCTGCAAAACATATTTCTAGTAGCTACCTAGGATCTCCTACAAAAAAGAAAGATTGGCTAAATTTTATTACTCAAAATGTTAAAACAGAACATATAAGAGAATTTCTCTTTGCAGGTTAAATTTACCTGAAATTTATCATTCATTGACCTCCTATAAAGTTCATTATTTATTGGCTAGTTATCTATTGTATATAGCCCTATAAAACTCTTAAATCAATATTTAAACTTCATCAGATACTTTCAGTAGATGTCACTCAGTGTTAGGAAAAACCACACCACTAACCTATCCTTTAGATTATGTTTCCAAATTTGCTATTAATATTCACAACTGGAAACTGAGTAAACGTATAGCATAATATTATCACAAAAAGCAGTTAAAAATCTACACAGAAACTGGGAGTGGTGATGCACACTTATAATCTCAGCACTCAAGACAATGAGGCAAGAGAATTGATGTTGAATTCAAGGTCAGCCTGGACTACAAAGTGAGTTTGAGGCCAGCCTGGGTCTCGTAGTGAGCAAAGCAAGACCCTATTTCAAAAGGCCAAAAAAAATCCACACAGAATTATAATAATTGTAGATAAGATTTATTTAACATCACAATAGTATCACTAATGCAGTAGTGTGTGAAGAGTCTGCTTCTCTGCTACTAAGTTTTGGCACCTTTAGTTTTCTCAAATTCAGACATAGGCACAAAATTCACAATTCAATTCCAAATGAACTTTAGTAAATCTTCAGTATTAAGAATATAGTAGGAGGCATTATGGTAACCATTGTTGATCACCTTGTATTATGCTTTTACATTATCTATTATGTCCACCCTTTTGATTTGACTGACTCTATTCTGTTATGTCACATTTGGTTTTACTCTCTTCCAAAAATGTAATAAGAACTGTGGGAGCAACAAAACCCAAAATGTGTAATTGTCATTCTACAAAAGAGAGGAAAAGGAAGTGCTCTAAATGATATAATTGCATGTATATTTAAGTGTATAAGATAGATAATGATATTACTGAGTTTTGTTGGATCATTGAACAGAACTGTTTGGAGTCTCACTGTTGGAATGTCCACTTTATAAGCTTTAATTTTGTAATTTGAACAATTATTTCTAAGATGACAATATGTAATCCATTAACTAGTGATTTCCTACTGTTTATTTTTTTTCTGTAAATCTATATAACTTGTACCCTTTCTCTGCTTTTTTTTCTTTTTCTCCTTAAATAAAATTTTAAAAAAAATATTGAAGGTATATTAAATAGTAAAGGTAAATAAATGTCTACACATACCATGTTTCCTTAAAAGATTGGGAGTTTTATTCTAGTAAAATAAGTTTGATTGACTCAATAATTACTAATGTAGATCATCAAACAAATTGGACATACTGTATTAATACTGCAAAATGAACTTTTCTTCTGTCTTCTATGAATAATTCATGTAGAAATAAATCAAGTTTATATGTTAGGTCAATGCTTATTCCTACAGGAAAAATATTTTATACATCTAAAGAAGGCTGGAAACATTATTTTGGCCTTCTAATAGATGGTACACTATTCAAAAATAAAGAAATAATAAAAATTACAGTTTCGAGGCGAGAGGGTTAACTCAATGGCATAAGCGCCTGCCTGGCAAGCTCGAGGCCGTGAGTTCAATCCTCGACACCAAAAAAAGTTTTAAAGCCAAAATTACATTTGAGATTTACGTTAAAAGTAACTAGGGAGAGCAACCAACTCAAGACCTCTACTGTCTCCCTCTCAGACAGAAACTTTCTTTCACCAATAAATGCATTCTGCTCCTAAAAACAAACAAAAAGATGCAATATGCCTATGTGCCAATTCACCACAATCAATTTATTTATTATACATTACAAATTTATTACATATTACAAATTATATATACTATTATGTTATGAATGTATTTTAAAAACCATTTTAATAAAAAACCTTAGATTCCAGGAAGTCATGGTCTCACAGGTATGTAATCTAAGAAAAAAAGGTAATAAAACTCTGTAGTACATCTCATCATATGCATAGTCTTTACATAAAACCAGTTAAGTGTTCACAAAAATAGGCAATTATAGACATACCACAACTAGACATGCGTCTTTTCCACACAAGATAAAACATTATGCACTCAAATACAAGGGTTTGGTAAAATAACTGACACAAGTGCCTACCAAGGGCTATGTTCTATATTCAGTCTACAGTTCCATGTGCACATGCATGTGTATGCACACAAACACACAACACCTACCAAAAAAAAGTAACCAGGCAGTTATTCAAGGCTAAGGATCTATGACTATTATGAAAACAATACCTAATTCCAGCAGAGTAGACTGCTATCTGTTCCTGGGGATATTTCCAGTAAGGCAACTGAGTGCAAAAACATTAATTTGACAGTGAACAAAAACAGTTAAGTGGTGAAGTGAGGAAGCAAGCTGAGCCAGCCTAGTTCCATTACATTGCCCCTCATAACTTCTTTCATCTCATAGAGAATATTCTGATATCAAATCACAGGGTTTCTATCAAGTTCACTACAATTTTTATAAAATTTGTCTATGGGCCAGGGATATAACTCAGTGGTAGCGCAGCCATAGGTTTAATTCCTAGCAATGATGAAAACAAAATTCTCCCAAAGGAAAAAAAAAAACCTCTGTTTTCCTACTAGGCATGTGGTAATCAAACATCTAGGGTACTTGTTACTGTCTCTTGACACATAGGCCACATTTCTTTTAAACCCTTTACATGTCTCACAACTTTTTGTTGAAACTGGATGTTTTTACAGCAACTCTGAAATTTTTGTTGGTTTCATGATTTTCCTAGACTACTTCTCTAAATTCTGGGTTTTTTTTTGTTTTTTTTTTTTGTTTGTTTGTTTGTTTTTGCCCTGTGGGGGAAAAGTACCTGGCTGAAGTCTCAGCCTGTTTATTGAGTGGTCACATAATAATTGGACAGAGGTTTTCCCTAATTCCTTAGTTGCTCTTTAGCCTTGTGCAGGCTCTGTGCATGTGCTGGGGCTCTCCCTCAATGCTCACACCCAAGTTTACAGGATGGCATAACTCCCACTATACCATCGCCTGTACAGATTCAAGATCTTCTAGAGGTAAGAGGTTATTATATATTCTCAAGTCTAGTTTTTTGTAGAGCTGGGCTATAAATTGTGAAACTACTTTAAAATATTATGGGATAAGAAAATACACTGAAAATAATGGTAGCCAGACTTCTCACTGTAAAAGAAAGGAGTTTAAATATGGAGAGAATGGAATGAATCTGTGGGGTTAGATGGAAACTGGAGGGATGGTTATAAACTCAACATTTTTCACAGACAACAAGTAAATACAGACTTCTGTGCATTGAGATGACGTAGAAAATGATATCAAGGAGCAAAACATGTCACTAATGTGAAGATTTTGTTTTGAATATACTTCTTTACCAAATGGAAGTAGCAAATCCCACACCTGGGGAAGGAAAAAAAGCAACCAAGATGAACTTGGAACATCTTTACTATGCCACAAGGTAAGGAAATGCTCAAAGAATGGTAGCAGCACGTCATAAAGACACAAGCAGCTCCTCTGAATCAAATCTGGAATAACTTACGCTTAAAAATAAATAATGAGAGAAATTATAACCCTTTGAGTAAAACAGGAATTAGTAAATCTGATATAGTACATAGATCGAAGAGAAAATTAAGTTCTTTTTTCTAATAAATTGCCAAAGAGTAGAAGTTAAAAGATAAAGTCAGAAAATCAGTATTTGATAAACATCATACTAAAACTGATTCCAGCATCACCAATGGATCGTAAAATTAATAGATAAAAGTTTGACAGTCAATTATCTTCTTAGTCTTACAACAAGTCTGCAAAAGTTTAGAAATAAAAATTTAGAATAACTTTATAGGAAACAAATCCATTATAGGATAAATGCACACTTTATTCCCCTTCATACAATGCATTGAGAATCCATCACTTCTGCAGTAGTCCTGTCAAAATATATAGCTTCAATCTATTTAAAAAACAAGTACAAATACACAAATCCATAATTAATCCACAAAATAACCAGCAGGTACTTTTCAAAAAGACTAAAGAACTGTTCTCCAAATTAAAGAAATCTAAAGAGACATGACAACTAAATGTAACATAGAACACCAGACTGTACTTGGAACAAAAATCATTTCTTCTACATTAGATATAAAAGAGACAATTAGCAACAGTTTAAGAGCTCTGTAGGTCAGACAATAGTATTGTATAAGGGGAATCTCCTGACTTTTATAATTGTATTCCTATTTCTAGATATATAGTTAGACTACATTTCCCAGTCTCCTTCATATTTAAATATGGCCATGTGACATTTTTAGCTGCTAGGCCTGACTTATAAAAATCTCTCATAATCCTCCATCCCCTCTTCTGAAAGATGGACACACATATTCATAAGCAGGAGGAAAAGAAATTCTACCATAAGAAGCCAATGAAATTTGAGAAGCTATTACTGTAGTATTATACAAATTAAAACAAATTATCATAAACAACTGTCACTATAAAGTACAGTATACTTACAAACTGAAGTTTATAGTATGCTGGTCCTAGGGTGTTATCACTTGCAGGTGGAAAGCATTTTGTAATTTTGTCATCTTCATGAATATGATAACCATATGACTGTCCACAAGAAGGAATTGAAGGAACATCTACATTTCTGGTAACTGTTGGTGTTCTTGAAATTTTCTTCAAATAGAAATACGTGTTTTGTATTATTTAATCAAAAGTAAAAGGAAAGGGAAGAACCAAATATTAATATTCACCAAAAGGCAACAAGTATTAACCAAATGAATTTCATAATATAAACCAAAAGTTTGTTTTGTAAAAATATCTTAAAGAACTGAATTCAATTTACAACTCATAAGCTAACAAAATAAATACTACTAAGGCCACCATAAGAAGCAAGAATTTTCTCTCACTGAATTAACTATTTACCTCAATACAGAAAATAGTACTGATTTTTTAAAGACACTCAAATAGCCACATCTCCAGTGTGATCTGCCACACAAGAACAAACCTTTTCAGTAACATTTAGTAGCTCCATTCCTTATATTTCCCAACTTATCTCATTACCTGTACCTAGATACATATGCTAATGATACAAACTATACAGGAGGGAAATTTCTATGATTGAATGCTAACTGAAATTTTTAATGTAGTCTTTATTTTCTATTTTGAATTATAAATATAGCTGTACAAGTTATAGATAAATGTATAAAGACATATAAATTCAAATTTTGATATGAAAAGAAGCTCTGCCAAAATTAGCAAAATAATTAATGTTACAGTCAAGAGTTTGGAGTTCATTATCTTTTTATTCAAAATTGCTTTAATGTAAAACATTTTATAATTTAAAAACATGAATGACATATATTAGAAACAGTGATATAAAATATCAAATAAAAATATTGGCATTTAAAGAATTTACTCATCTAGAAAATTGATTAGGAATATATTGATCCCTGTATTTTCTGGATATATGAATAAGGTGTACAGTTGTATTATATGTCTATATATAGTTATTTTAACAACTATCACTGGAAGAATTGTATTTTTAGTTCTCAAGATAACTACTAAGCAGTTTTAGTAATGCTTATGAGATCATCAAATTAAAACTGGAAAGCACTAGATACCTTCCATTCCATTCAATACAGTACTTTCAAAAAATATTTGCCTGATATCAAGACTTTTCAAAGAGCACTATCTCCTGTTTCTAATGCTCTCCATTGAATCCTGTGCTCTAGACCTTCCAGAGAACTCTGTACTTCCCTGAACACACAACTCTCCTAAAAACACCTGGATGCCTTTATTCATGTGATTTTTCTATTCCTAGAAATTTTTAACTCCTTCATGAACTCTTTAAAATTGGGTTCAATTGTTTCTCCTATTCTTTCCAAAGAGTCTCTACTTTTGGCTACTAGGAAACATTTTACTATGGCTCTAAGATAGTATTTCATAAACCCTTACATGAGTAAATGAATATTTGCCCCCACACATGAAATGTCTGATATTCAACCTCACTGCCATTGCAGTAACATTATTTGGCTAAGTACTTAGCCTTAGAAGATTAACTTCTAGACAAGGAATTGATTAAAATGTAATTAATTTGAGGTATGGAAAGAAGTTATGACAAAAGAAGGAAATACTCTAAATAATATATGAACAAATGATTAGGCAACATTTTTATTTCAATAGGTGTTTGTTGAAAAATGACAATATAAACCAGCATACTCTTACAAATACATTACCAACTAGTCTCCCATACAAAATCTTCACTCCAATTTAAAAATCCTTTTATTGCTTCCCACAAAAACTCACCTCCACATTTCTATTCACAGAGTACTCTATAACTAAAATGTATATTCCACTCCCATTCTTCAAAGCCCATCTCAAACCCAAATTTCTTTATTCCCTTTCAAATTCCTATGACTCCTTTTATATGTTGTTTGAAATTAGAAGCTTGCCATATGTCTGTCCTCTGTCTGAATTTTTAGCTTTGTTATTTCAGGAATTATTGTTTTGGGTTTTTTCATTTGTTTTGTTTTGGTTTGCAGTTCTGAAAATGAAACCCAAGGTCTCATGCTTTCTAAGTATGGTCCCTGTCACTGAGTTACACTTCCCCTTCCAGAAATCATGGTTTTAATGTCACTGTTTTCTTAGCACTTATTTAAGCAAAGTTTCCTCTACACATAAATAAACTGAAAAGTACAAATAGGTAAGCTAGTGGCTTACAAAATTCCCTTTAAATTAATGGATTTCTCAAGGGCAAAATGTGAGCCTCAGGGTGCTTAGTGCACACACTTTGGCTTCAATCCCTAGTCCCAGAGTTGGGGAAGTAATGAAGTTAGATACTGTAACAGAGTTAAAAACTGAAGTTTCTAAGCATAACTGAGCACCCACTTAATTATAAAATAACTATAGTCTGGATAATACTAAGTGTTACAGTAAAGCTTTTTAAATGTATTAACATCATCAAAACATTAAACCTTTGCTACTTGATTTTAACTAAAATATCATTGAAAGCATAATTTAAAATAGTAACGTACTGATTGAGGACAAACTTTAGATTCTAGTATTTTTTTCTTCAAGATATCTAGAGTTCCACAATAATAACTTGCAGGTCCTGGGTTATCTGAAATAAACTTCTTAAAACGCTGTTCTCGGTTTTGTAAACTCTGACCTCCTTTTATATTACACTGAATGGAATAGAAAAAATCATGAAACAGTAATAAAAAGTACTTTATAATTCCTATTTAACAAATAATTATTAAAAGACAGGTTCAAAACCCAACCCAAAAAAATTAAGACCTTTAGTTGGGAACATAATTCTAGTAAAATAGAATAATGACAAAATGACAATTACGGTTATGAGTTTTAATGCTGAACTCAAACTAAAATTTATTGTATTTACAATACTCTAAGAGAATACAAGAAAATGCAGTTTTAAAACAGAAATAAAAAATAGACTTCCCAAAGATACAGAGCAGAAATAAAAAGTATATATTTAGCAGGACTGGAAAATTTATACTTCTGAAATGACCTTTTAAAATGCTGGCATTCGTTTTTCAGTGAAAATGCAAATCTTCCAAGGTTGCATAAGATTAATTATTTCCATAAATAATGCACTGTTCAATTCTAGGGAAGTTCATGCAGATTTGTTGGGAAAGCTTGGTTTTATGCTCAGATTAGTTTTAAACATTTTCGTTGGATAAAACACACCAAGAAGAATCTTCTATAGCACACCATGCCACATATCTGGACTTCCCAGAGTCACAAAATTACCAGTTGACTAATAGCCAGTTAATTCAGAAAAATTCCAAAAGAGTAAAACTGCATATTTATGATTATAAAAACACTAGAGTCATACTCACTATTTCTGAAAGTGACTGGGAATCACTGAAGACACACTAGTCACAGACCCTTTTGACTGTACAGGCAGGAGACAACAAAACAATGACAATGGGTATAGCTGTATAGCAGGGCACAAAAACAGTCCTTCACACTACTACTATAATTTACAGTGCTATAACTTACTTGAGTATGATTCTCCCTTTCTCATGGGCCATGCAGCATGTAATACAGAATAATGAAGAATACTTAATCAGGTAATCAACATCGAACACATTTATTTTCTGTCACTAGAATCTAACAATATAGATTGGAAATGGAAATAAGATGATATAAGGGGACAATAAAAATGATATGACATTTTAGTCTATTAGAAAAAAAGATGATTTTTATTAACTAAGACAACTTTAATGCCTTTTATAATTGTACCTGTGCTTCTGAAACATTATAATGTCCTGGACCTGGGACATCATTTTCAATATTGGAGACAACAGCAAAAGTACTTTCTCTGGCAGCCAAAGAAAGAAATGGTGCATAGCCATCTATAAAAAAAATAAAATTGTATTACTGGGAGACAAGACAGAATCTCAGAGGAAAAAACAGTCAAAATATATATAATAATTTAGCAACCTGGATACTGAAACTATATTTTCAAAATTAATTGCTAGCTCAAAGAATTTATTATATTTTAAAATTCATATATAAGATCAGAATTTTATTAATATATTAAATTATGAAAGTTAAAGAATCAGGCTTACTGAACAATTGAAAAAGATATCTAAAGGAAATAAAAAATGAAACCCTTTGCTTTTGAGATGAAAGTGGTATTTATATTTAGCTGACAAAATATTTCATCCTTAGAAAATCACTACTTTATAATGTGAAACAGCATAATTACTATAGAAAATAGCAATATAAATTTATAGAGACAAGCTGTATGGAAAGAATTTAAAGTGGGTTTACAGCAGCTGGCTGACAATATCTCCTTGCATTAGCACATACTGTAGTTGGTACTCACTAAATAGTTCCTGATTGCTTAACTGCAAACAAAAGTCTACAAACTTCACTGGAGTAAGCAAACAAAAGATCAGACAAACTTGGATAGTTACAGACAGGGCAAACTTTTTGTGTGTGTACCTTGTGCTTGTCAAACAGGCACTTTGCCACTGAGCTATATCCCTCGCCCAGAGTGGTTTTTTTAAATTTCAAAACTGTATTGGAAAAAATTAATATAGTTTAAGCAATACTGACATTAAAAAAGAGGACAAGGACATAGCAGCAATATTTCATAGACAATAAAATAATTAAAGAACCCATAACTTGCACACCAAATGAGAATATGTACTAGTGAAGAATTTATAGTGATATTAGTATAGTAAAAATCTTGCTATTCTTAACTAACAATAAAAGATACGCTACTTAAAACTTTGAGTCCACATATATTAAAATGCAAATGAATCAAGAATCATTTATTTGTGTTGTGTTCGGTGTTGCAACATAAAAGAAGTGAACAAACTATAAAATTTATCCTTTTAAAAAAACTCCTAAAGAATTAAAATAATTTTAAACAAGGAAAAACATCTTAAATGCCATAATTGAAGACAAATGCCAAGAAACTCCAAAATGGAAGTCATCATTCACATTCAAGATGATTAGGAAAAGCTTCATGGATAATGTTAGAACTCTGGGTGTAAATTTGGGGCTAAGCTTGTAACTCAGTGTTAGAACACATGCTTAGCGTGCGCAAGGTCAGCATTAGGGTACACACACGCGCACACACACACATACACACACACACAGAGAGCTAAACTATCTGCTCCAAGTCAAGATGAGGGAAAGGACAGGAAAGAAAGCAAGAGAAAAGAACAAAAGAAATTTAATAAAATACCCTTAGATAAGTAATAAAGTCCACAAAAACTGAAATCCTTAATAGTAAACAAGGTATATTTTGAAAAAGCAACAATTGCCTGGTAGGTCTGAGAAACCTGGGGTATTACTGAAACCTTACAAATTACATTTAATTCAAATCACATATATAAACACACACTTAACATACACACCAAACAGGCTACAAATTACATAAAGTGAATCATACAAACTACAAATATCCTTCTAAGAGGGAGAAAATATGACTCATACATAAAAGAAAAATCAATGAAAATAAACAAATTTCAGAAACAACATGGAATTAGTAGACAAGAACATTAAAGTACTTATTATAAATCTTCTCCATATACTCAGCAAGATGGAGGAAAGATAAATTTGTGAGAATATAAAGAAAAGCTATAAATATGACCCAATCAAACTAAATTGAGCACACTAAATAGATTAACAAACCTTACGAGATCTAATAATGCACTTTTTTCAATTTTTAGTAACTTTTAAAAATAGCTAAAGCAAAAATAACATATTCATACACATTACATAGGCATTAGCATATATGAAAGTAAAATGTGCCATCACAGTAGCACCAAAGATGACATGGAGAAAAGGAAAGCATATTATCTTGAGGTTTATATGTAAAACATATATGTGAAGTAGTGCTACATTATTTGAAGGAATACCAAGATAAATTAGAATTATATATTGCAAACCTTGGGCAACCATTTAAAAATAAAGCAAAGATGTGTTAGCAGACAACCAAATAATGAGGATAAAAAATCATTTTTCAAGAAATTCAATTTATACAATGATAATAGATGCTTAGGTTTAGGTGAAGACTACCCCCCAAAACATGATGTCTTCAGAGCAGGCTTTCTGAATGCTGACTGGATCATGGGGTGCTGTTCTCATGGATGGAGAGTAGGAGAGTAGATATGGAGGCTCACTGGAGTGTGACCAGAAAGGATATATCTCCCTCCAGGGCTCCTGCTTTCTCTCTCTCACCTCTGCAACTTGGGCAGCTTTCCTCCGCAAAGGCCCTCCCACCATGGTTTCTGCCTTTGTGGCAGCCAGCCATGGATTAAAAATGTGAGCTGTTATGGCTTGTGTTTCAATGCCACCCCCCCAAAGCCTCATCAGTCATGAGTGGGTATTTTGAAGTTGGCCAAATCTAGGGTGTGTGATGATGTGATCAAGCATGTGATGCTAGGATTAAGGATGTGAGTAAAATAAAAGGGACAGAGGAGGTTCATTACTTGTAACTTGCTGCCTTCTGCCTGCCATGGGTTGTTCTTCCTCTGCAATGCTCCTCTGCCATACCACCATTATCAAAAAAAAAAAAAACCTTTTCTCATGTAACTTTGGGAAATTTTTTTTAATTTTAAAGATACAAAACAAAAGAAAGCAAATCAAGGCAGAATAATGCAAGCAACACAGAACATCAAAACAAGACAACAGGAAACCAACAATGGCTATCCTAATGTTTCTTGTCTTCTTCAAAATACCTGTTGACACAATCTCACACAATAAAATCAAACAAAACAAAATAGAATCAAACGAATCAAAACAAAAGAATAAAAGCATTACAGGACTTCAAAACAAGACAACAGGAAATCAACAATGACTATCATAACGTCTCGTTTTCTTCAAAATAGCCATTCATACTATCTCACATAATAAATCAAATGAAACACAACAGAATAAAACTAATCAAAAAAATAACAGCATTATAAAACTTCAAAACAAGGTAATATGAAACCAATAAAAACCTCAAGATATATTCCATTATCTTCAAAATAGCTGCCCATACCATCAGACACAGTAAAATCTAACAAAACAAGCCAGTACAAAACCAAACCTAACAAAATCATGAAAATGATATGAGTTCAAGATGATAAAAATTAACATTGGTTATCTCCTCCCCCTCCTAGGTGTTTTCTTCTGCTATCACTTTCATAATATCTATTGTGCTTTTTGGATCCCACTAACTCCTTCAGTATTTTTATGCTAGGGAACTAACTCAGTGTTCACCCATTTGAGGTCAAAATGTTTCACCCATGAACACGATCTCCAGCTGCATCCATTTACCTACAAGAGCCTCAAGATTATCCTACTTTATAGCTGGGTAGCTTTCCATCATATGAAAATACCGTATCTTTTTATCTATTCTGCAGTTGATGGGCAAGTTACCTTTGCTCTCTTTCTGAATTCTTTTCACATAGAACAATTATTTGCTCTCCTTTGATTTTTCACTCTTTAAATTTCCTTTCGAGTTAAATGTGTTTCTTGTATGCAGTATATTGATGGATTTTGTTTCTTTATCCATTCTCCTTGTGTTTCTTTTTGTTGGTGAATTGAGGCCACCTACATTAATGGTTAAAACGACATACAATAGTCCATCTGTCATGCTATCCTACTACTGTTGGCCTTCCAACTTTCCCCTTGGAAGCTGTTTTCTTTCAGATTTTAAAACACTTTGCTCCAAACTCTTCCTGACTTGATGGTTTGTATTGAAAAGTCTGTTGTAATTCTGATTGGTTTTCCTTTATAGGTGATCTGTCTCTTTTCTCAAATAGCTTTTAATATTCTGTTCTTGTGCTGAATTTGTGGGATCTTGATTATCATATGTCTGGGTATAGATTTACTTTGCTTAGTGCTATATGCCTTGCTTATTCATAGATTCTTTTCCCATGTTTGGGAAGTTTTCTTCTATTACTTCTGTGAATATCCTTTTAATGTCATTTGTGTTGATCCCTGCTTCTTCATTGATACCTATCACTCTTAAATTATTTGTCTTTACATCATCTTGCAGCTGTTGAATTGTTATTTCCTCATTCCTGTTTATTTTTAAGAGATCTTTCCTTTCACAATTACTAGTTATGATACTGTCTTCAAGGTCTAAAAGTCTATCTCCAGACTCTTTCAAGCAGTTTTGCCAACTTTTGATTGACTTTTTAATTCTCTGGATATGCCTTTGTATCTGTTTCATGCATTATAATTTCTTCCTATATTGTTCACTCAAGGGTTCCATAATTTTCCTAGGCTCCTCTTTTTTATCTATATCTTCTTTAGATATGCTCAGCAATTCTTTCATTAGGCTTGTGATTTCTTCTTTTACCTGAGACATTATTTCTGATTTGATTGCTTTTACAGTCTCATGAAGCTGTTTGTTTACTTCAGTTGCCATCCTCGCAGAGATTTAAGGTGTGTGACTTCCGTTTTCTTCTATGACTGAATCTCCCAGACTTGTTCTGTGTGGGCTAGAGGTCTGAGACTGCCTTTTGCTCCTTTGTCTTAACTTTCTCCTAGGTTCCTTCCCAGCAAGCCAGTTGAGCAGTCCCAGATACTTCCTTCATTGGCTGCCCCTCTGTGGTTTAGGGAAATAGGACAGGCACCTGCGTTTGTCTGACCCCAGCTCCCAGGGAGGTAGCAGGGCATGGATCAAGCTTCTCCACACCCGTGCTGCTACACTGGGGCATCCCTGATGGCCAGGGGTGCACAGTGCTGTGGTTGCCTCTTCTCCCAGCTTACATGTCTGTGCCTCAACTCCCCTCCAATGGCAGCAGGCAAACAGAGTGTGTGTATCTGATTCTCTAGGTGGGTGCTGACTGCCTAAAGGAAGCAAAGGCCTCCAATGGTGGCCTACAGGTACACAGGACTT